GGGTTGCTACCCCTGTCACTGATGGGCTCGGCCTTGGCCATTGGCGGGTCCATCTTGGAGCCAGTTGGCACTGGCTCCATCAGACATAGGGGAAGCTTCTATCAACTTCTCACAGAAGCCACCCCTGTAGCTCCTCACCCCCCACTACCAAAACCTTGCCACGCAAACCCAATACAATTTCACAAGTGCGAAGAGAAATCTATGCTCTGAAGTCAAAAATAAAATAAAAAGTTCAAACAGGCCTTCACAATCATTTAGTGCAATGATGCTTATTAAGTGTGTTCATCCTTTCTTTCTTAGTGTACAATTTTCAAACTAAATTTCAGCACAAATTCTCTGGTATCAGCAAAGGTGTGTATGAGGTCTTCATCTTCAATTAATTCAGTAATTCTGTGTAATATGAATTATTGGAGAAGAGAGAATCGTACAATGGCTTCTGTTATTATTATGTTACATTTATAATGAAAGGAACATAATAATGTTTTAATGTCTTTTTTCAAGAAGACCAAGGATGTATTTATCCAGTTTATGCTTAACTATACACAAGATTATTTCTCAGCTGTATAGAAAAGAATGTTAACATTTTAGCCCAAAACAGCATGGTTTCCTTTCAGTTCCTATCTTAGAAAGCTTAACAGAAACATTTTTAAATTCACTGAAAGGTTGAGAAAATTTTAGCAGAAATGTGCAGCATTACAATTCATGAGGTTTTTTTATAGATCAGATATATATATGATCAGATATATATATATTATCAGATGTACATGTTGGGTTGCTGCTTTGCAAAAGTGTAAAGTAGCTGCAAGAACAACTGATTATGATGTAACAGTTGCTGTAGTTCATGATAAACAGCACTTTTTCCTAGGTGGTTTGTATGTCCAGGTAATGCTTTCATTAAAATGTTAGCTAGTATATTTTTAAATGACCTGTTTGCCTGCTCTAGATGCAGTTTCAGATCTTTCCCATTTTTCTTCTTGGGGAGGCCACTATATTTAGTCTCCTGAGAGCTTTTGTAGCTGTGCTGTGTGTTTTCTACCAAAGTACTGTTCTGCAGAATATTTTCTGAAATTATTTGTTGACCATTTTGTCTGCTGTCACAACTGTAAGGCTTTAAAACCTGAGTGGTTAAACTGTAGTTTACTTGAACAAGTAAGTATATGTCAAAGCAGATAACCATTTTTCTGGCTTTGTAACTTCCCATATAACATTCGTTCTGAGAGTCTGAGATTGTTATGATTTCATACAGATAAATTATGGATGTCAAATATCCTAGTGCTGTCAGGTTCAGATTCTGACAATTTCTCAAATAACATATTGCATTGCTTTAAAGAATAAATTTTTATACTTGCTAAGCCACCCAATCTAGGCAAGAGGGATTTTTTGTTTACATTATGCTATGGGAATTTATGCCTCACACTTAGTATTTTAAAATGCTTTCCCATAAGGAATTGTTCTCTTGAATCCCCTCACAAAGAATATGTTTACTGTTTATTAGGTTAGTGTATGACCAATTCTTCTGTTAGATATGGTCACTGATAACAGTGAAGCAGAGATGAAGAATATAAAATTTACTCTTCACTGAGAACATCAGCACACAAGAGACCTTGGGAGACTGAGTGATCCAAGGTGTCTGGAAATGTTTCATTATCCTTCTTTGTGTAATTTAGACTTTGTGGGTATTTTTATTCAGGGGGCAGTACTAGCAGCTGTGTCAAGCCACAAATTCAACTCCTTCTATGGTGACCCCCCTGAAGAGCTGCCAGACTTCTCTGAAGACCCCACCTCCTCAGGTATTTTAACAGAAAGTATATTTACTGCAGTCAACCTATCTTAATTCTACATTGACTAGAGTACCAAGTATTCACGAATTTCTTATTACTTCATAAAGTTGCATGTTAAGGTAACATTTAAATGTAAAAGTATAAATAATTTTCAGTCATAATGGTGTTAGTGACTGGAGAAGATGAAGAGAAAATGTCTGCACAGTTGTAAGTTTCTACAGAAATTCTGTCTGATTTTTTTATTTGTTGTATGTACATTTAATTACAAATAGTGCTGTAACATCGTATTTCTCTTTATATTACTTGAGTGTAAAAGCTTATTGAAATTTTGTCTTGAATTCTTAGGCAGGAGCAAGGCTCTCATACATTACTAATAGTTATTTATGAAAAGAAACCATTGTGTACTAGAGTTTCTTGAACTCCTGTTTTAGAGAACAGTATGATTGTCTCCTCTTCACAGTGCACTGGACAGTGTTTCTGATACTATTAATTAGACCCACAAATCTTCAGAGAGAAATACATGCACTTCAGGGACCTCCCAGCATACTTGAAAGGAGAGGATAATACCTTTGCTGTGCTTGGAGCACATAGCTAGGCCTTGGGCAGGACAGTGATCTTACTCCAAGCAGTCCTTTTTTCCTCGGCCCATATTCAGAAAATTTAAATAACCTGGCAGTCCCTATACTAACACAGCCAGTTATGTGTCTTAATCGTGACATAACATTATGCCCAACATTTGCAGTGCAAAAGTCTAGGTTGGTCTATCTGACCTAAAATAGGATTTAGGATCAAGTTGAATGAACTTTTAAGAAAAACTAAGGCCAATAGGGCTCTCTACTTTATTTTTCTAAACAACTAAATAGTACTGGCAGAATATTTTAGATGTATACTGACTTTACTAGAAGATATTTCAGGAACTTAATTAAATGTACTGAGCTGCTGTATGATAATTCTCTTTCCCAATATTTTTACAGGTGAGAAAATTACTTATTGACTGCATATGTTAAGTGTTCCTTTTCTGCTCTTTCATATGAGCAAGTAATTTTTGTAAATTATTTCAATGTCATTAATATAGGAATTGGGGGCAATTTTTTTCTGTTGAAATTCTTAAATTTCAATTTTTGGAATTAAGGTTTCAGTACTTAAATTAAAATGTTGCTTCGTCCTTAGAGATACACTCTGCTCGTAATTTCCATAGAAGTGAATGGGAATCTCAGATCATTTATTGCAAATGGGTAATCACAGCCTCATGGCTTAACTTCAGGCAGCCAGCTTTGAATACTTGATGTACTCGTAAGTAAGGATCCATATATTCTTTTAAAGAAAGAATAAGTTGGTTTTACTTCACCCAGAATTACTTGCAGTGCTTTAATTTTTGTTTCCAGCTACTTCCCCCATTTCAGTAAAATGAATAGGCACGAATAGGCCACCAACATGATTTGCAGTAGCAACTTTCCTAATCTAAAAACTGCAGTTCCTCTTTCCAGTTTCAGTCTCACATCAGCAGGGCATGTGTCTTCCTCATAAAATGATGTAATTGCAGATATCAGTATACAGCAAAGGTACAAGTTCTATTTTTTCTGATCACAGAATACATGAGTCCAGTACACATGTAAATTCTGCAGAATATCTGTGCTGGATCCACTGTTATCTTGTGTTCATCTCTGAAATAACTGAAACAATAGCTTGGATTTCTTCAGAAAGTGTAGTTATTTTCTGAAATAACGTTGTTGATCTCACTGATGGGAGATCACAGTGATCAGGAAACCATACTAAGTGGGTAGTTTTCATTATGTTTTCCTGACCAATGACATTAGCTGATAAAATATTTAATATCTCAGGATAAACACCGAGGCTTGCAAGAAAAGATATGGCAACTTTCAGGTTCTGAAATTGCTAGATACAGAAATCTATTTTGTTTCCTCTTCAGAAGTATACTAATATAGTTTTCAAATATTTGTATCTTGTGCAGCTGATTCTAAGCTGAACTAGTTTATAGAAATTAGACATAAAACTCTTGAATTGCAGTAGAAACTTGACTATCTTAAGGTTATTTAAGTTTCCTTCTGAACATCTCATAATGTTATCCCAGATCATAAACTCTAATGAAGAGCATTTAATATTTTAAATGTTGCTGCTTATTTAATCCTCCCATAAAATTTCATGAAGCTTACCATTAAAATTAAATGATTTGTCAGAAATGGCCAAATGTGGAGCTCCTACTGAGATAAAGGTGCAGAAATTTAAATGCTATTGGGTTATGTAAATTGTATATCCTGTCCTCCTTCAGGTCTTTCTAAACACAGAAATGGAAAAATTCAGTTCTGTCTTTTTTCCAGATTTATCTAGAGGTGTTCTTCCTCAGAGTTCAGTGAACCTGGGATTGATGAACCTGTTGAGCATCTTCCTATACTACCAGAGTAATAGCCTGGGATATGAAGGCACGATAGGTTCCAAGTCAGATTACTTTCTTAGATGCTGAATCACAGAGGATGTTCTTGTCTAAGAGCTTTCCAATGAGGGTCAGTAAATTGCATAACTAAGTTAGGTGGGAATGAACATAGATAAATTTAATTTAAAGTCATCCAGGTGTTTTTTGGTACACTTCTTCCTTTCATTTGTACAGGTGTTAATAATTCTTGGTTCTCACAGCTTGTTCTGGGTGATCTATTTCCTCTTTCATCAGCAACTGTCCTCTGAAAGACTTAACTTAATCCTGCTATCATCCTGTTGGTAACATGGCAGAAATCAGTCTTGCTGAATTTTGAAAGCGTATGATAAAGGTTTTTAAAATGTTTTGAAAAATTAGGTAAATATTTATTAAACTAAAACATCACTTTCCTGTAACATCACGTGTCTTGCAAATGTTTTTTGCTAGAATATAAAACATTTGACTTTCAGGTTGCCTGTCTTCAAGACTTTATAAAATGTCAATTTCCCAAGGCAGTGAGTGTTTTGGGTATTTTTAATACACTGAAACACATGATTTAGACGTTAGCAATCAGCAGCCCTAAAGGCTAAATCTGGCACACGAGAAAAAATGGCCCGGTAGAGAGTATTTGAAGTGGACCATGAAATTAATTAGGTCCTAGAGAAATTCGTGATCAGTTTGCTCTCCGCTGCCCTTCCCCATCCTACTCCCTCCCCTCTCCCCCGCTGTCCCTGGCTTTCCTGTCACCTGATTGCACACTAGACCAAGACAGGGGATTTTCTCTGCTTGTGTTGTATACTGACCATTTGTCCCCTAACAGACAGTATGGACGTATAATTTTCAAGTGTTTTGATGACAATGCCTCAGGCTGAAGAATGAATATCACCAATGTAAATCTTTTCATTTTTCCTCCTGTTGCTTCTGCAGCCCCTCATTCTACAGCAGCCCAAGGAAAGGCTGTGCAGTTGTTTCACATTTTGACTTGGGAAGCTGAATTCAGGAAGTCCATTTAGTTTGCTTTGGGGTTTAAAGTAGATTCAAGATGTTTAGTTTTTTAGGCCAACAGTTAGAAAAGCCAATAAATTTAAGAGGTTTTTTTATAACTTTGTATTTCCAAAAATCTTTTTGTAGCCACATTTTCAGAACTACTGAGTCAATGTTAAGCCAGTAGATAGTCCATAGTCTTTGGAAATTTGCATAACTGACTTTTAGATTAAAGCAAATCTTAGCTTTTGGTTAAAGGACTTACCTCTATAATGCCTGCTTGAATTGTTTAGTTTATAGTGCTAATATTCTGAAACGTGACTAATAAGTTTTTAGAGTAGCTTTTCGCTGCAAACAGTTCTAAATTCCTGTAAGGCATTTTATAATGTTGTGAACAGTTTAACCACAAAGTATAGCAGCATATTTTATAACAGACTGACTGACCAAATGTACTTATTTAGACTAGGCTACCAAGTAGCACTGTTGCAGTACTTCCTGAAAAATCATGTGCTTGCTGAGCTCTGTGGTAACGGTGTAAGGTGATAAACATAGCAGCAGTGCTTTTGCATTACACAGAAAGCAGGCACGTTAAGTCTACATCAGTGTTTCTAGCTTGTTTTCTTGAACTGCAAGGCACATTTTTCATACGGCATTTTTATAAATGCATTTTGATGTTTTGTCTCAGGATTGCTGTATGTAAATTGAAATTTTAATTCTTTTTTATCTTGTTAGAATCTATATTGTCATATCAAATGAGAACATTTTAATAGTATGAGATCCTGATTTTCAATTTTGAAAGTAATAATGATGAGAAAAAAGCTGAATCTGATAGTCTTTCAGAGTGGGATCAAACAGAAAATATATAGCCAAGTTTTAAGATCACTGTTTCCAATATACATGGAACTAGCTTAACTCACAAGTTAGTGAGCAGTTAGTAGTTTTATGGGATTTAGATTCCATGAAATATGGGCAATATAAGCCCATATCTTGAAAATGGACAGTCTCTGATGTGAGCAAGAAAAAAAAATGTGCTCTTTTTGCATAACAACACTAAGATTTTGTAAATATTTGCAGAGGGTCTTGTGTAACACTTTTAACTATGAATGTTTGGGAAAAAAATTACATTCACCTTGTAATTTATTGTTATTTATTGCTTATCTACAGGTGTAACTGACTATCAGTTTTGAGATCATGAGTTTTAGTCTTTCCAATACCCTATTATTATCTTTATGATTTTTCAGCTAGTTAATCTTTGTTCTAATATGTTTAAATACAAAAATGTAGAAGTATATAAAGTCAATGTTAATTAAAATCAATAGTAAAGTGGTTGTATTTCCAAATGGTTCTCATAATGGTTCTCACTGAAACTTTCATTAAAAAATTGATTTAAATATAATATTGCTAAATTCTAGTTAGTAAATACAAGTATATTAATTAATATGAAGTTACACTTCGTTTGCAGTGTGTTGAAGCAATTTGTCCATTCACCTCTTACGATATTCTCACTTGAAATCATTTTTTTGTCCATGAGTTTTTCATAATAATTTAATCAATGTTGGAAAAAGTCTGGTATGCTAGATACCTAACACTACGTACATGTGCTACCTTCCCAATGCCAAGTGTTTGTTTTCCTCCCATCCCATTGCACAAGTCCCATTTGCTTCGCACATAGAAACGATATTTAAAAAAGGGGGGGGGATTCTTGTCATACTATTTTGTGGCTAAACTAGCATGCTAGGTTGCAGCTTTATAAATCGCTTGTTCTGAAATCTTCATACTGTTTGTTGTTTGTCCAAATGCTGCCTTCCTACTAGGACTTCTAGCAGCAGAAAGTAGGTATCCCTTTGTTTTCCTTTAAGGCGTGTCATTCAGCTATGCTGTGCGTCTTTGCATGTTTAAAAATCAGCTTTCTTCTCTTTGCTGTTTTCAGTTTTAATACTGCCTGTTAAAAAAAAAAAAATGGCCTGTATGGTTTTGACTATATCTGTCTGTAACTTTGGAAGTGTAATTATCCAGAAGCACTATGATTTCCAGGGAATTCTGAAGATTCTAGTTTAGAGGCGGTATTAAAATTACCTGGGTTTTGGTTTTCAATATTTGCAACACAACTGAAATAAAACTTAATTTTCATTAAATTAATAAAGGATAAAATGGTTTGGTTTTGTGTTTTAGTTCCAGAATTAATGTTTTCGTGGACTAATGGGCTTTTTTCTCCTAACATTAAACATATACTGTAGTGTTAGTCGTATGTTATTGTCTTGCTATAAACGTTCTTGATCATTCTGTGTTGATGTGATACATACACCTGATTTAAATAACTATTGAATATATGTCTCCTTAATGAAGGAATATTATTGACATATAGAGAGGGGGTTCTGCTGCAAGTTAGCTGCACACTTTGTGAGAGACTGAAAGTGCAAGCACTTCTAAAACCTGCAGACTGTGCTAGACAGAGAAGGTGTGAAATTCTAGACCCTTTGGTACAAACCACAACAGTTTCAAAACCAACAAATTCAGCATCTGAAAATACAGGCTATAAAAAGTGGGGTTTTCCTGAAGCATTTTAAGATTTGTAGGCTAACAGCTCTTCCATCCTGGGTCAGGGCAGCAAGACACATGTCCATGTCTCCATTTCGGATCGAAGTCATGGATTTTGTTGTTGTTTGGTTCATTTTTTTGATCTTAGAGGTTGTGAGGGATGTAGTTCCTTGTCCTTCTATTTCCCCATCTCAAAATGCTTGCCCAGTAATACAAGAGTAAGAACTCAGTGGATTTTTAGACAAAAGTTTTGCAACAGTATCATTTTTGTAAAGTTGTACGGGAAAAAAGAAACCTCATACAGAGCCTCTGCCACTGATTTTTGGTTTTTGTTTGTGCATAGAGACTTTCTTCAGTAAACTTACTGACTCATAGGATGTGCTGCCCTCATACTGGTCAGAAGAGGGTTTCCATATATTTTTGCAATGAGGAAGAAAGTATCTAAGGAAGTAATATTGAAGGTCATTCATTTGTTAAAATAGTTCTTGGTTTAGTTGCATGTGAGAGTGCTACTTCTAAGGTGCGGGTCTGGTCTGAAAGACGATACCTTCTCTCTGCATATTTCTTTACCACCACAGTAGACTGTCTTCTGTCATATCTGTGGCTAGTTTTTACAGTGAGAGATAACAGGGAAAAGGAATTGGCAAACTTTGTATGAAGTTCCCAAGTATGGAGACAGGAGAAAGCTAGAGACATGCATACAGACAGTGCCCCTGTGCATGCGAAATAAAACACTGTCTTCAAAATCAAGCATCAGTTTCTCCACCCACCTCCCCTCCTTCCCTCTGTCCCCCTTACCCCCTTCTTTGCTGTATTTCCATATATAGTACTCTCCTCTGCATTCTTGCTTGTGTTTGGGAACACTTTACCTCATTTTCCCGTTTTTTTCCCCCTTCGTTCTTTGTTTGGTCTTTTCTTCTTTCTCCCTGTTTTTCTCTCCTGCGCCTATTTCCTTTGGTTTTCTTCTCTGACTTTTTTATGCCTTTCTTTCCCTTTTTCTATTCCATAGTTACCTTCTTTACCTTCTTTTGTTTGGTTGTAAATCCCAATACCCTTCCATCACACCAACTGCCTTCTTTCTGCAGTTTCACTGTAGTCTCCGTAAACCTCCATCTTTCTAGTTCTCTCCTTAGAATCTTCCTGGTTTGTTCTACATATATGTATAAAAAATATGTATTGTGTGTGTATGTGTGTGTATATTACTACTGTCGTAATTGCTTCACAGTAGCATTCACAGAACTGCATGCATGTAGCAGCTTATTTGTATATTTAGAGTGTCTAAACTCAGCTGTTTGGTTTCTGTCCAAGAAGGAAGAAGTAACCGAACACTATATAGCTCAAATTTGAGGAGGATAGACTCCTTACTTGCCTTTCAATTTAAATTACATTTTTGTATATATATGTGAAATGTATCTCTCACCTTATTTTAAACTATTACATGCATATATATGTGTATATATATATATATACACACACACATGCTTTGGCTTCGTCTGTCCTGACAGCAGTAGTTGCTCTGGAATATAGCGAAAAGCAAAAAGCAGCAGATTGCTGTCAGAGGTTAGGGGCATCCCAACTCCAGTGATTCTTGCAGATGTCGTTTGAAGTGATGGAGAGCATCTGGTCCTCAGCTGGCTTAATCTAAGAAGTTACAACAGCACAAGTAAAGGAAAGGTCTCGTCTCTGTAAAAGTGCCTTTTCTCACCTTTGATAGAAACAGCATATGTTTAGTATTTTCTTTACAGGATCAACAGGAAATAGAGGTGTTCTTTCTTACACATTTTTCACTCTTGTCTACTGCTACTAAGGCAAACTTGGCCTTGTATATAACATAACATATCATTTTATAATTATGCTGATATTGAACCTAGACTTTCATGTTTGGCTAAAGTGAGCAGTTTCAAATGTATATGTGATTGTGATTTGAAAACCTCAGCTGACAGACACCCCTTCATTTCCACAGCATTTTGATATAGTGCTTAATTACCTAATGTGTTGAAAATTCATACCTTGTGGTTTTAGGGTATTGTAATCAGATGCCAGCAAAACAAAATTACTGGAGGCACTGATTGATACAGTTATCACTAAATAGGTCATTTAAATGTATAAGTGTCACTGGAGTCTTAAAACAGCAGCAAAGAATATTTGTTTTATTTGTCATACATGAAAAAAAAAGTAAAATTCATGAAACTTGAATTTCACATTACAGAGTTGGTAAAATTCTTTTTGTCACTTCACCAGATGTGCTCTACCGGAATCTCACAATATTTATAAGATTTTTTTTTCTGAAAATAACTGCACTATGTAATAGTACCCATTCTTGTTTTTCATGAGATTGTATTCAGTGACTTAATTTAGAGATTCTAATATTTGATCTCTCTAAAATCTAACAATTTCTGATGGTTTTTCTTCAGTCCTTGCTGTATGTGCTAGCCTCAGACCTCTTCATAAACAAAGTGAAATGCAAATCCTACCTTCTGAAAGCCAGGATTGTTTTTTAATTTCGTTTCCAGCAGCTGCAAACAAGAAGACAGCCATGAGATGAAGCTGGCAGAAATCAGCTTGTGATGATTGTAGATTGACTGGCATAAGGACTGAATTGTGATATATAGAGAAATTGTAAATAGCAGCCAAGCTTTGCTTACTCATTTAAAAACCACTGTAAAATCTTCAAGGCATAGTTATTTACCTGTTTACACAACATATAGAATAGTTGAAAAGCTGCTCCAAATTAAGGTAGTTTATAAGAATGAACAGGATTACAATGAGTGCCTGGTGTCAGGGACTTAATTTTATATGGTTCTGCAAATCTAAGGGGTTTAGATTTTGTCAGTGTCTCTTTAATAAAAATACACTATTAATATAATGGTTGTTATAAGGTCTTCTGCAGAGTCATTTCCTGGAATACTAATTGCAGGAGACTTGCAAAAAGGTCATGGTTTTATAGTTTTGTGTTGAAACAAGGTCAGGCTTCCTCTAACAAGTTTTCATTGCTCAGAAGAGGGTTTATGATGGACCAAGATTAAATGGGCATTTGTAATCTTCAATATTAAAAAAATTTAAAAAAGAATTCTTTTACCCTCTCTCAGTTTGTTGTCAGAATGTAGTTTTTGTGTTTTGCAGCAAGATCCAAGTCTTGTTACCTGAACACTCTTTTAGCCATATGCTGTCGCAGATCACTGCTGCTTGAAAAGAAGCCAGTAATTCTCTACTGCCTGCTGCGTAAGAGAGGCAGTCAGTTGTACCTGCCTTGTTTGCTGAGCCTCGGAAAAGCAAGCTTTTGGGGTGTTTCGTGGTGGAGACATATTACTATTGGAGAATATGTAGAAATTCTTGGAATAGTATTTTGAAGATTTCATGTATTCTCTTTTATTATCTTTTGTTCTCTCCTCTGCTGGAGAGTAGTAAGCAACTCCTACCTACCTCTAAAGTTCAGTTTCTCTAGCCAAACCACCTGCTCCAGATTACAATAGATAGATGCCAGGATGTAATAACAGCGCTCTATTTTACCAAATCTTTGTCTACTTGCAATTTGATGAACAGTGTCCACACCAACTTCAGGTCATGTTAAGGGCGCTGTATGAGAACCACAAAGCCTCTGTAGATAGAATTGAGCTGTGAGAGAGAGCTATTCTGAATGGCCGTTCTCCATAAGTGCAGTAACAGAACCTGCAGGAAATACCTATGATAACATTGACTACACACTGGATGAAGAAATAATCCCAAATTATTGCAGTATAAGGCAAATATGTCTAACTGACAAATAATAGATCTGCCTCCCTAGGCAGAAAGCTACTTAGGTTATCTCCATATTCTTAGAATTAATTTGGTATCATCCTTAGAAGTCATTCCACTAACTATAAAAACATTTCATGTACTAGTACTGACTGCAGAAGACTGTCCTAAGCATTCTGACTTTTTTACTTTAATATAGTGAGAGCTCACAGTTTTCAACTTTTCAGAGTTGTCAGCCCCAAGAGAACTGCAAATCGTTGCAGCGATCCTTTCTTAAGGTAGTCTTATGGAAATACAAGGAAGACAATGTTGTGTGCATGGCGCAGAATGTCACTGCTCATTTGCACACTGAAAACGTATGTGCAATTACAGTAAGATCCACAGTTACCACAGTCTTCTCACAGAACCATGTTTGGTGTGGATTTTGTTACTGTTACTGTGGAGAAGAGTCTTCTACTTGTATCACTGGAATTGTAACCTTTCCTGTGCAATCATATGTGTATATATTTTTATAGTAACTTAAGGTGCAGGGTGAGATTCGTCTCACCTAAGTAGTTGGGTCTACTTCAAAGTTCTATGGCAGTAAGCAGCATTTTCTAACAAACTATACTTTAGGGAGTCTTAAAAGACAAACAAAGCCAGTCAGGTTAGTCAACTTGCTTTTTTTTCCCTGGCTTCCTAATATTTATGCATCATTCTAATTTTTATATTTATAGATGGTGTCTGTAACTGCTACAGACCATGAGAAATCTGAGCTTTTACATTGTATGACTGTAGGATAACTCACTCAGATCCTTCCTTTATCATCTATGCTGAGACTAAAATGGGTGCATTTGCAATGATGAAAAGAGATTATATCCTGTTTCTAGAGGACAGAAGCTTTTATTATAAATATTGAGTGCTGTTACACTTTCCCCAAATGTTAGAAATTTAGCTTAAATATGGTAGAATATGCATCTTTTTAGGGACAAGTGTGCTGTAAAGATCGGTTAATATTACTTGATGTAGTATCTTTTATCTGAATTTAAAACTCTTCTGAAAGATACTCGGGCTTTTAGTCACATAGAGAGAGTTTAGGTGTTCACAAAAATGCCTGTGGAATTGTTATATCACTTTTTTATGCAGTCACATGCTGTTAGTGTATTGCTACTATGCCATTTCCTCATGCAAGTGCATATTATTTGTACATGCATGAAAGACATGGCAGTACACACAGCATAAGATTGTAGGTAAAAAAAAATCCAGAAGGTAGAACTGTTATTTTGAGGGATTAGCAAAGTCACTGCCAGAACTTTTTATCAAAATTGCTAAGGACATTCTTGGAAACTTTCTTTTACAGCCTTCTGTTCAATGCGACCAATGAACAGGAGAAAAAACACCTAACAAACAAAGCTTAATGTTTTGTAATTCCCAGATACTCAAAAGGTTGTTGAGATGCAAATATTAAAAAATAGTAACTTTTATTTCTATTTGAAAGACCTTGAAGTATTCCACAAAATAAAATTCCCTAAGCAAATAATACTGTCAATTAAATAATGTAGTGGTCCAAAGCATTCAATGTCTCACAATGATGCAGCACTGCAATAACTTTAAACATATTTCTCATTGGTTCTGGTTTTGGCTCAAGTTTGAGGGTTTCTGAGCATCACTGAGCAGTATTAGAGAGTCTTAAGACATCCAAGCCTCTGAAGTAAATCTTCTCTTGAGTTTTCCTTGAAATAAATGCCCCAAATACACAAAAAGGACTTTGAACCCAGAAAGCGAAGTTGTGCTAGAAAAGAAAATAATTAAACTCTGAGCATGGCAGGAATAGAAATAGAAGAGAATTCTAACAAATTTCCTTCTGCCAACTGCATGGTGGAAAGTCAAGCACTTTCCTTCAGGCTTGAAGATACCAAAGTTCATCAACCTTTAACTGACACACTGAAAATATTAAAAGAAACTCAGCGCAGTCCCTTTTGGGTCCCTAGGTAATGTTTTTCTTCCTTGCCTTTGAGGCTTAGCTGTGATCTCTCCATGCTCATATCAGCAGATTCCCAGTCTGTATTTTCTCAGATTTCCTGCTGTGTCTCCCAGTGTGGAAGCTGTGGTGAAGGCAAGAGGAATCTGGGCAGTTCCTTTTAGCTGAGCAAGCTTATTTTCTTATTCATTATCAAAGACAGAGCAGTTTTGTCTCTTCTTCAGTGCACTTGACCCTATGCACAGCAACTACGATAAGGTAAACCATTAGTTTCATTTTCTGACCAGCCACCACTTTTTTAAAGGAACATAAACTAATGCATCAGTTGAAAATAGTAGTCAGACATGTTTAATGGGGGACTAAGAAGTCTTATTGCTCCTGAGCCATGAGTTGTGAGTGAGGGGAATGCTGTGTTCTTCCCCTTGTTGTACAAGGAACTGTGAGGAGAATCCTAGGGTGAGATTTGAACTAAATATGATGCGAGAGTTTCTAGACTTGTAACTTACTCGTCCTTTTAAGCCTGAGGGCACAAGTCTTGTATAGTAGGTTTTGTGTATTTTGTTATGTTTATTCCAGTTTTTCAAAGTTTTCAGATAAATTAGTGAATTTAACTTGCTTCCTTGTGTCATTAAGAGGAGGTTGGGTTTTTTGTTTTTATTACATTCTGAAAATGTGATAGATTACAAAAGGGCTTAAGTTAAGGAAGGCTGGTAAGCATTGTTCATACAGTAGAGGATGGAAGAAAAGAAGGTTATCAGGAGTAGTCAGCATGGATTCACCAAAGGGAAATCATGCCTGACCAATCTGATAGCTTTCTACGATGACATGACTGGCTAGGTAGACGAAGGGAGAGCCGTGGATGTTGTCTACCTTGACTTCAGCAAGGCTTTCGACACAGTGTCCCATGATATCCTCCTAGGGAAGCTCAGGAAGTATGGGCTGGATGAGTGGTCGGTGAAGTGGATAGAGAACTGGCTGAATGGCAGAACTCAGAGGGTTGTCATCAGCGGCGCTGAGTCTAGTTGGAGGCTGGTGACAAGTGGTGTCCCCCAGGGGTCAGTACTGGGCCCAGTCTTGTTTAACTTCTTCATCAACGACCTGGATGAAGAGTTAGAATGTACCCTCAGCAAGTTTGCTGACGACACCAAACTGGGAGGTGTGGTAGATACACCAGAAGGCTGTGCTGCCATTCAGCGTGACCTGGATAGGCTGGAAAGCTGGGCAGAGAGGAACCTGATGAGGTTCAACAAGGGCAAGTGCAGGGTCCTGCACCTGGGGAGGAACAACCTCATGCACCAGTACAGGCTTGGGGTGGACCTGCTGGAGAGCAGAGAGGGACCTGGGTGTCCTGGTGGACGACAGGTTAACCATGAGCCAGCAGTGTGCCCTGGCTGCCAAGAAAGCCAATGGGATCCTGGGGTGCATCAAGAAGAGTGTGGCCAGCAGGACAAGGGAGGTTCTCCTTCCCCTCTACACTGCCCTAGTGAGGCCTCATCTGGAGTACT